TGTTTTGAAATGAACTACAAATTCTTGGAGAGGCATGAAAGGCCTATTTCGCCCGCGACAACGAGAAAGCGAGAAAATCCTGTGAACACGGCCCAGAAAATGGCAAGCAAAAGTTCAACCAAACAAGACGAAGAAGCAACAACGGAAGAAGTGCCAGGGTCGATCGCCATATATACAGAAGAAGAAATAAATACCTTTAATCGCGATGTTAAACTTTCAGTGCTTTCGCTTGGACACGTCATTTCTTTCAGTTTTGCAGTCAAAGAGGTAAAAGGTATAAATTATTTTCCTTCTCGAGCAAATAATTTGGAAATTTGAAAAAAGATGTCAAAGATAAACGGCTCTTAAATACAGCGCAATACCCTTATTATCCTTAAGATAGTGTAAAGTTTGTTTAAAAAGCTTGAAAACAAATGTGAAAAATAGCACAAGGTACAAATAAAGCTGTCGAAGATTCAAACGTCTACGACTGATCCTGCTTCCTGTCCGCTAACGCAATGACAGTGCTGACAGTTGACTTTGAAATGGCTCTCTGGGGCGCGCGCTCAGGATAAAAACCTGTTTTTCTATCTTCTTATTTTTATTCACTTATGCGATTCAAGGAAACTCCATTACCTTACTCGTGAATTTCGCGTTAAATTGTACTTGAAAACCGATATCGCGATTCGTGCGATATCGGTTTTAATGTGCAATTTAACGCGGAATTTCCTAGTCAAGCAACTGATTTTCCCATAAAATCTACCTATTAACCTCTCACCTTGCATCAGGTCTATTGTGAAATTGACATCGCGAAATAATATCGAATTATTTTGGTATCTTTCGACGTAGAATTGCTGTTTACCAACGTTCCTATCGATGCCGCTGTACAAGCCGCACTGCAGAAACTCGAGAACGACCCAAACCTTGCAGACCGCACCATGCTAACGCCTGCACAGATCGCTGACCTTTTGACCTTCGTATTGAGATCCACATACTTCCTGTATAATGGATTTATGAGCAAAAAGACGGCGCCGCCATGGGGAGTCCAGTTTCCGCTGTTATTGCCAACCTCTACATGGAGAGTTTCGAAGAACAGACGATAACTACATCATCCTACGAGCCTAGGATCTGGAAACGCTACGTGGACGATACCTGGACCATCCCGGATCGCGAAAACGTAGATGACTTCTTACAGCATTTAAACAACCAGCAGCCTTCCATCCGCTTCACCATGGAGACAGAGAAAGACAACAAACTTGCCTTCCTAGACACCGCAGTTTTAAGACAACCTGACGGCCGCCTCACCACCAGCGTATACAGGAAGCCCACGCACACTGATCAATACTTAGCGTACGATTCACATCACCCTCAATCAGTAAAACGCGGTATTGTTAAGTGCCTTTACGAGCAAGCCAAACGTCTCGTAACAAAACCCCCCCTCATCTCCGAGGAGAAAAAACATCTGTCATCTGTTCTGGTTTCTAATGGTTATCCTTTTTCTTTCTTGCAGAAACTTACCAAGACCGGAAAACCAAACAACAGTGCCGAACCCGCCGACGAGTTCAAAGCTACTGGAGTTTTACCTTATGTCAAAGGCCTGTCCGAACAGCTTCGCCGTTGCCTATAGCAACAGGGCGTACGCGCTGTTTTCAAGTCAGAGACTACGCTAAGATCTCAGTTAGTACGAGCAAAAGACGCTGTCGACCCGGCTAAACAAGATGGCTGGATTCCCTGCGAATGTGGCAAGGTATACATCAGAAAGACTGGAAGACCTATGCAAGACAGAATTAAGGAGCACGATAGAGACATTCGACTCGCCCGTACCGAGACCTCCGCCGTTTCAGCGCATGCACACAACACTGGACACAAGCTACTCTGGAACGAAGTAAAGTTTATTGATCGTGACCCTTATTACTACACGCGCAGAGTCAAAGAGGCAATTCACATAAGACTTCACCCTAACAACATCAACAGGGATAGTGGAATAGAAATTCCAGAAGCGTGGATGCCCACGATTAAAAAACACAACAACAGGAGAGCCGTGCGACAGCGGACCGCTGAGGGAGCAAATCACTGAGTAAACAGCAAGGATCGAAATGCACCAATCAGAGCTGTTGAAAAAAACTAATCACAGACAAGCAGTATGCAGTCGAAACGTAGTGATCTACATCACACGTGACTACATCGTGAGACAAACGAAAAACTTAGCTCTTATAGCTATTCACCACGATGAATAACCACAACCTTTTCTACGATATTACAAAGTTAACTACAAATCGCTAGGAAATAACTCAGTACAGTCTTATTACAGGGCCGTAGCTAGCATGAGGCAAGACGAGGCAATTGATTTTGGCCCAAGGTTGACTTTTCTGAAGAAAAATGCCACGGGAAATGCTTAAAGGAGCATTGCTGAGCCTCTACATTTCACAGTTTTCTGGGGGAGCATGCAGCCAGGCCCATCTAGCGGCTCGCGCCTCCGGCGCTCGAAACTTGCCTCCTCTTGTTTTGGAGTCTAGCTACG